CCCCCCCCGCTCCCAGCGCCCCCCGCGGCCCCCCGCCTCCCCCGCAGCGGGGCCCTCGCCTCAGCTGCCAGCTCGAGCCATGCGCGGCCCCTGGAGCTGGAGCCCGCCTAGGGTGGCCTAAGCATTTTGAGCCCCGTGTTGTGTCTCAGAAGGGTGCCCGCGGGGCCCTGACTTCTGGTTGTGGGCGATGGTGGCGACACCCCGCCCCGCTCCCAGCGCCCCCCGCGGCCCCCCGCCTCCCCCGCAGCGGGGCCCTCGCCTCAGCTGCCAGCTCGAGCCATGCGCGGCCCCTGGAGCTGGAGCCCGCCTAGGGTGGCCTAAGCATTTTGAGCCCCGTGTTGTGTCTCAGAAGGGTGCCCGCGGGGCCCTGACTTCTGGTTGTGGGCGATGGTGGCGACACCCCGCCCTCCTCCGCGGTGCAGTGTGCCAGGCGCTGGTAATTGCTGCGAAATGCACTGCCCCGAGTGCCTAAAGCCTGTTGCTCTTGTGAAATGGGAATTCAAAGGAAAGGTCACCCACGTGCTGAACTGAGTGGGGATGATTGCCATGGCTGTTACATCACGCCCCGCCAATTACAGAGCGCCCTGCGTGTTTATACCTGCGCAGCCATACACTCGAATGACAGACATTACCTGGGGTTCCAGAATCCAACACAAAGGGGAGGAGTGCAGGTCAGTGATCTCAGTGTGCACTACAGCAGGCAGTAATCATTAATAAATCTGAAAACACAAGTTATACCGGTTCTAATGATCTTGTAGCTTTCATAACAGTCCGTGCTTTATTGTATTGTTTCCTAGTTCATTCAAAGCTGACAAGTCTCAGAGAGATAGAAGGTATCTGCAAAAATAACAAGGCGTCCTGTGGCACCTTAAGGACTAACAGATTTATTTAGGCATCAACTTTTGTGGGTAAAAACTACTTTGCCACTCCCTGCATCTGACAAAGTGGAATCCAAAACTGAGCTAATGTTTCTTAATTCCTTTTTGTGTGGGTGCTATGATTATGGACATGCCCCTAAAGTTTACCCTATCTACTCTGCAATATCACAGTCACCAAATTTGTAGCCGATTCTGTTTCTTGCACAGAAACTGAACACTTGCAGGGGAAAATCATTTGTAGACTCATAATTGTGAGGAAGAAAACCCTTAAAAACAAAACCCAAAAGTAAGTTTATACAGTGAAATTTACTTGATACTGAATGCTTCATTCATTGCAGTCAGATGTTAATCTTTGCTTAATTATGGGCAAGTCTACATTTAGGCCTGGTCTACAATACAGACCTCTGTTAGTACAACTACATCACACAGGGGTGTGAAAAATCCACATCTCTGTGAAACATAGTTATACTGACCTACTACCCCCACATGGGCAGTGTTATATTGGCGGGAGAGCCTTTCCTATTGACATAACTATTGCCTCTCTGAGGCTAAGTGTAGACTACTCTTTCATCTGGAAAAGCTACTCAAATTTCGCTCCGCAATTTGCATAGCTTTTTTCCATTGCTTTTCCAGAAGAGGCTTTTCTGCCATTTGGCCCCATCTAGACAGGGCCAAATGGCAGAAAAGCCTCCTCTTTTGGCAGAGCCCTTATTCCTTGTAGAATGAGGTATATAGGGCTCCCCGAAAGAGTGCATTTGCTCTTCCGCAAAAAAAGTGGAAGAGCAAACATCTTGCCTGGCTGCGGCAGAGTTTTTTCCGGGATACCTCTGGTATCCCAGAAAAACCCACCAATTTTAAACATACCCTGAGAGGTGGATTAACTTTGCTGATGGGAGAGCTCTCTCCCTTCATCTTAAAGTGTCATTATTAAAATGCTACAGTGACACAGCTATATTGGTGCAGCTGCATCACTACAATATAGGCTTTAAGGAAGAGCACTTCTATCAGTGAAGTTAGTTCAACTCCCCAACAGGCGGTACCTATATTAGTAGAAGAAACTCTCCTACTGACATAACATCTATGAGGGGTGGAGTGAATTAGGTCAGTATAACTACATAACTCAGGGATGTGAATTTTTCACATCCCTGAGCAACGTTGTTATATTGATATAGATCTGTAGTGTAAACAAGATCTGTGATGCTACATAAATGCCTCTCTATTACAGATCATTGTAGCAGAAGCATCCAATTGATGTGCTTGTCCCAAACTGCTGGAAACTCCATTTATCTCCTCCTCAGCTGCCAAACCTCCCATTCCCTTCCCCACAACACTTTCTGTAATGCACTTATGTTTTTAGCTGAAAATTCTGCAGCACATAGCACAGTGTTAGAGAACAGTTTTTGCTTTAAGTCTTTACTTATAGGGCACTATCACAAGACATTTTAGTATTAAACATTTTCTACTGAAAGGTAAATACTTAAAGAGACAATTAATTAAAATTAAAGAGGCAAAATAATTAAAATACAGTCTAAAAGAATCAACTTGGCTAAATTATACAAAATCAAATAGCACCAAGAAATCAGGTATAAAAGAAAATCCAGTGGCCCTCAACTCATCTCTCCCAACTAACAAAATGGATCTGTTCACAAATGATACAAATGGTTGGGTTGAAAAAAGGAAGCCTTAGTATGAAAACTACAGTATAGGCAAATCAGAATAAATGGAAGTTATATTTTAATGAGTTAATGAATGGAAAATAGAGCACTGTTCAAACTGTAAATATTATAGATGCCTAAATAATATTCGTATGCTAAAGTGAGATCATCAGAAAAATCAGTAATTGAAAATATTAACTCACTTTCTAAACTCTGAGAGGAGTAAAGATAGCATATAAGTAGAAAACCAGTTTAACCCTGTCCTCAGAAATAGTATAATAACTGAGTTCGGAAATACACTGTATTCTTATTATTGAAGGTTAAAACTCTATGGGGTCTCACTATAATTCTGTAGTTTTCTCTGGAGGAATAAATAAATCATAGAATGCATTGTCATACACCTAGGAGAATTATGGTGACTACTTGAAACCATAAGAGGAGGTAGAAGAGTAGTTGAATATTGAATAGGTGACAGACAGAGAGAGGCAGGATCACATGGGTCCCAGGATGAAGAAACATAAGGTTCGACTAGCAAGGCAGGTATATAGAAGTTAGTGTATACCTTTGTATTATCACAAATTCAGATGTTGACTCAGACATTTGCAAAATGGTCTAGCTAGAAGACATAACTTTACCAGACCTTCTAAAAGCCAGTGGGAAATTTATCTTACTAAAGAGTTTACAACAATGTCTTCCCAATGAAAACATAGTTTGGAAAGGAAGACAATAACTTTCATGTATACTAAATAAAGCTGGCTGAAAATTTTTCAACAGAATGTTTTTCTCTCCGAAAATATTGTTTAACTGAATTCAAACTTCCCACGTGAACATGTCAATCTTGACAACATTTTGTTTGGAAAAAAATCAGAATGAAGCATTTTGGTAATGAGAAAACATCCCATTTTGACATTTTCAGAATGGAATTTTCAGTTTTTAATTTTGAAACAAATTCTAATTCCAAATGTATATTATTACTTGATAAATTGTAATGAACAATGAAACATTTTGATTTTGATTAAACATTCTGATGGACTCAATGGAAATGAAACATTTTGTTTGAACCAAAATAAAAATAATTCAAAAATTTAATTTTCAGGAAATTTCATAATTCAATATATCATTCTGATTCAAAACAAAAACAAAATTTTAAGTTCTGGAATCTCCTATTAAATGGGAATTATTGTTTCCAATTATCTTTGTATCAGACAAATCCCAACACAATTCAAGAAATAGTTCTAATTTAAGTTACAATGCGAAAACAATTCTTGATACCCCCCAGAGAACTGGGCCAAGATGGAAGAGCTATCAAAAGGATACTGTATGCTTCATGGCATAATGACAACAAATTCTGCTGCAAGTATTTCTAAATTCTGCAGAACTCCTGAATTCTGTGATAATGTTAAATTATGATTTCTGCATTATTTTTTCCATTAAATACCCATCATTTCCATCCTTCCCATGTCAGACACACATATAACTGTAGTTCATAGTTGAAAATACTCATAAATTTGTCAATGATTATTTACAAAAAAGATTATTTCTGATGATTATCTTTTCTATGTGTTCTCTATATATTAAAGCTATTTGGGCTTCAGTAGTTAAAATGTTGTCTGAGTGATACAGCTCAGAATCTCCTTCTTT